TTGTTAATAAACATACTCCAAAGGTGCTGTGTGTTCAGGAAACACATCTCAAGTCCACACAAACAAACTTTCTAAAGCATTATGCCATCTTCTGCAAAGACTGTGATGACGCTGCCGCTTCGTCGGGCGGTGTCGCTATAATAGTCGATGAAGGTGTTACCTGTAAGCAATTAAACCTCCGAACTTCTCTTGAGGCAGTTGCTGTCCGAGCAGTGCTGTTCGGGAAGCTACTAACAATTACCTCTATTTATATTCCCCCGTGCTATCAACTTTCAAAGACACAATTTCAAAGCTTCATTGATGAACTTCCTCCACCATATATAGTCGTTGGTAATCTAAATGCACATAATCACCTATGGGGCGACTCCCGTTTAGATGCGCGAGGACGCCTAATAGAACACTTTTTGTTTTCGTCAGGTGCATGTCTACTAAACAAAAAAGAACCAACGTACTATAGCACTACACATAACACATACTCTTCTATAGACCTGAGTATTGTCTTGAGTGCTATAATTCCATATCTGGAGTGGTTCGTTCTCAAGAATCCTTTTGGGAGTGACCACTTCCCGATTTTGTTAAAGTTAACAAAATAAGATACATGCTCCCCTGATTTTCCTCGCTGGAACGCCAAGTCAGCCAACTGGGAACTGTTTCGAGAAATTACATTTTTAGACGGAGATGAGATTGTCAATTTTAATATAGACGATGCTGTAGCATACCTAACAGGTTTTATTATTGACGCTGCAGTGAAATGTATCAAGCAAACCAACGGAATGACCAATAAACGTCGCATCCCATGGTGGAACGACGATTGTCGGAAAGGGCGCAATAGACAAAATAAAGCTTGGAGACTACTCCGAAATTACCCAACGGCTGAAAACCTCAACAATTTCAAAGAGGTTAAGTCCTAAGCCAGAAGAACGCGTCGCCTTGCAAAGAAAGAAAGTTGGAATAGGTACATCTCCGGTATAAATTCTCACACCGACAAAACGAAGGTTTGGAATAGGGTAAACAAGTTAATGGGTCGGGAGTCGCACCCCCTACCCTTGGTAAATAGCCGAGGTGAAAGTCTAGAGGAGCAGGCGGACTGCCTAGGCAAACACTTTGAATACGTCTAGAGTGCATCAAACTATACAGAAACGTTCTTAAAATTCAAAGAACGCGAAGAGCGGCAACCCCTTAAATCTAAGCGTCCATCCAGGAAGGCTTACAACTGCCCATTGTCATTAGCTGAACTTAAAGCATCTCTTGCGTACTGCAACAACTCGGCGCCAGGTGGCGATCGTATAATGTACGAAATGATCAAGTATCTTCACCCAGAAGCACTAAAAACGCTCCTAACCCTCTTCAATACCATGTGGGAAGCTGGATATATTCCATTGTCATGGAAAGAAGCAATAGTCATCCCGGTACTTAAACAAGGCAAAGACCCGTCCTTGACCGCCAGCTACAGCCCAATAGCGCTAACAAGCTGTTTGTGCAAACTATATGAGAAAATGTTAAACCGGCGCTTAACCCACTTCCTAGAAAGTAACAATATACTAGACCCCCTTCAGTGTGGTTTCAGAGAGGGGAGGTCGACAATAGACCACCTTGTTCGCATAGACATACATCAGAGATGCATTTATTCATAGGCAGTTTGTATTTTCGGTATTCTTAGACCTGGAGAAAGCGTACGATACCATATGGCGATTCGGGATTCTACGCGATCTTGCCGCCATGGGCATCCATGGGAACATGCTAAACACAATTAAAAGTTATCTGTCTAACCGAACCTTTCACATAAAAGGGGGAAATGCTCTCTCTAGATCATTTACCCAAGAGACTGGTGTTCCGCAAGGGGGCGTGCTTACTTGCACACTCTTTCTTGTAAAAATGAACTCCCTGCAGTCAGACATTCCAAGCGCGATGTTTTATTCTGTGTATGTTGATGATGTGCAGATGAGTTTGATGATGAGTAGTTTTTGGTAGCGCAAGGGCCAATTGATGGCCAAAGAGCGCCATTTCAATTGACTACAGATATGAACAATGATATGGTGCATGGCTGTAAAGGGGCCTTAAAATTCCTCGCTCTAACGCGGGTTAAAACATGAAAGTAATAAAATCATGACAGTGGCGTGACATATGTGTGGTGATAGCTGATGGCAAAATGTCATGATAATAAAACCATGATGAAGATATAGTCACCGCAGCCACGACCAATCTATAGAGGTCGTGCTACGGATGACCTCGAAATATCGGGCGAAAGCTTTGCACTTCTTTTAAAAATGTAAAAAGTGTTTGCAGTTTAAAAAGCGGATACCTACCGATGAGCATCCCAGGGTGTAGAGAGAGCTGCTGTCGGTAGGGCAGTAAAAAGTGCTTTTTTCTTAGAGCATCTAGCTCATTGCACTGGACGAGAATGTGGAGAACCGTAAGGGGCTCTCCACATCTCTCACAATATGGTGGATCACCGGTAGACAGAAGAAATGAATGTGTAGAATGTGTGTGTCCAGTCCTAAGCCTTGTTAGTATTACTTCCGTGTGTCGTGATTTTGATAGTGGCGGCCAATAACCTAGTTGCGGCTTAATAGCATGGAGTTTATTATCTGTTTGTTTATCCCACATGCTCTGCCAATACCCCCTGAGCTTTCGTTTTATAAAAGGTTTTAAGTCAAGTGCAGGGACTGGTGTTGGTGCATTGGCAGTAGTGACATTGGCGCAAGCAGCTAGATTGTCGGCCAAAACGTTCCCTTGTATTTCGCGGTGCCCTGGAACCCAGCAGACAACGACATGCTGTTTTGATGTGTACAGTGTGCACAGAAGTGAGTAGAGTGACACCAGCACGGGGTTCTTGTGTTTTTTAGGAGTTTTCAGGGCTTTGACCACGCTTAGGGAATCTGTGTATATTACCGCCTTTTGTAATTTTACCTGTTTAATGTGTTTTACGACCGCCAGTATTGCGTAAGCTTCTCCTGTGAAAATGCTTGCATTAGGATGAAGAACGCCGGTCTCAGAAAAGGATTGGCCTATTGCTGCATATGACACAGAAGTTTTTGACTTTGACGCATCAGTAAAGAACTCAGGGCATGTGTATTTACGTTGTAGTTCTAAAAAGTATGTATGTATGTGTGCAAGTGGTGCGTGCTTTGTGACATCAACAAAAGAAACATCACAGTCTATAAGCTGCCACTGCCACGGTGGCAGATATGTTGCAGGGTCGGTAAGCACATGACCTGCAGACGCCAGCTGTACACCACCACTATAACCGAATATGGTGTATCCAAGGTAGGATAGCCACACAGGGTTAACCCTTGCCGCCAGGAAACACGGAAGTCAACGGAAAAGAGTAGAGGACAGGAAAGATTTGAAGTAAGAGAAAAGACGAAGATGTGAGGGGGAGACAGGAAAAGGCGACTGCGATTCCCCCCAGGTGGGTCAATCCGGGGGTGCCGTCTACGTGAAGCTGGGGCCAAAGGGGTGTGTTGCCTCTGCCGGGGGGCCTTAAAGGTCCAATCACCCAGGGTCGGCTCAACCCCCAGGATCCCCTTTTCCCCGGACTCGGCAAAGCCACGCACGGCTAGGCGTGGGAGGGAGTAGAAACTCCCCCGTTAGCTCGGGTCCGTGGTGTCGCTACACACCAAACGCCTACTTGCGCAGGCGCCCCTGCGGGGGCAGCAAAGCGGAAGCTATTCGAGGGATACTTTCTGAAAAAGAAGTTGTTTATGCGAAAGCAATCTTGATGAGAGATGCACTCGGCCCACTTTTGGAAGCCCAGAAAACGCTTGAAAGTGGGAAGCTTTTGATGCCCAGCTTTGATCACCTGGTAAACGTGAAGCTGCAGCAGATTGTCGGGGAGCTTTCCGCGATGATCGGTAAAAACGATCAGGCCAAAGCTGTTTTGTCTATGTTATCCAAGCGCAGCGCTAATTTAGTAAAAACATGTTCTGAAGAGTTCTGCACGAAACTCGCCACAAAATGGCGCTGCACTCTTGGACAGAACGTCTCAGAAAAAGAGAAAAACCAGCTAACTTTGTGGAAGTTGAGAGCCGTCCTTGATCCGTTTCAGAAGCGTCTGCTGGGGCAGTCATTTAAGGACTACTGACCTCTGTTCATGTCCGTAACCGACAATGTAGATTCCCTTAATGACGAGTTCAACCAGTATTTGCTGGAAGCGAGCCCCACAAACCCAGCTGTCGAACTAATCGAGTACAGTAAACCCTCGTTAGCTCGAACTCGCATATCTCGAAATCTCGGTTAAGTCGAAACTTTTTTTCGCCGTGCATTAACCTTCCATAGGTGCTATGTATTTGCCCCCTCATTATCTCGAAACGTTTTCCGGAGGGAACAGTGGATATCTCGAAATCTTGACAGGGAGGGCAGAAGGCAAAGTCTACTCCCAACAGGAAACGAGGGCTCCGTGCGAACGCTTAGCTCTTACTATACGTGCCGAACGCAGTCGTGAAGGGCGAATTTGAAATTCCCGCGGACGCAGCCGTTTCCTATCAGCCTTGTCAGGCAACTGTGGGAGTGATCACGTGTGCGCACCTGCGCGCGACTTATGCGCGGTGAGCGGCGTGTGCAGCATGTGCCCGTCAGTACGCAACCTAGCCCTTGCATGTGCGAGCTGGTATTCTTTGTTTTCGTCGCGATCTGTGCACGACGCATCTTGAGCTCAGTTTTGCTGAGTAGTGAGTGGTCTGTGCAACAGACGCTTCCGTATCGACCAAGATGTCCCGCCCAAAGCAGTGCAAATCTCTGACATTGGAGAGAAAAGTCGCGCTAATCAAGGAAGTGGAAAAAGCAAGTCGAAGAAGTCGTGCATCGCCAAAGAATTCGGCATCCCTTTGTCAACCCTCTCGACAGTGCTTAAGAACAAACAAAAGGTTTTGGAAGGCTTTGAGCAAAGCTTCTCAAGCAAGCGGAAGCCCATTCGAGCGTCCGAATTCCCGGACGTCGAAGCAGCACTTCTGTTGTGGCTTCAAAACGTTCGAGCAGCCAATCTTCCCGTGACAACCCAAATGATGATGGAGAAAGCAGACGCTTTGGCACTGCAGATGGGTCACGCGGATTTCAGTTGCAGCAATGGCTGGTTCGAGCGGTTTAAGACGCGAAATAACGTGTCATCGAAGCCTATCCACGGCGAAAGCAGCATTGTTGACGAACAGGCTGCAGACGCATGGCGCAAGCTACGCCTAGCCGAGCTGCAAAAGGAGTACGCGGACAAGGACATCTTTAACCTAGACGAAGCCGCTCTCTTTTACAAGATGCTGCCTAACCGCACATACACACCAAAAGGCGAAACGTGCTCAGGCGCTAAGCAACGAAAAGACAGGATAACAATTCTTTTTGGTGCCAATGCTACCGGCGATGAAAAGCTGCCCCTCCTCATCATTGGCAAGTCGCTGAATCCCAGGTGTTTCCGAACTGCACGGCTCCCGAGGGATGTGACCTACCGCGCAAATAAAACAGCCTGGATGACGGCGGCGCTTTTCGAAGAGCATGTCCGTGCGCTTGATCAGAAGATGGCAAAGGACGGTCGGAAAGTGTTGTTTGTTGTAGATAACTGCCCCGGCCACGGAAAAATCGACAACTTGGCGGCTGTTACGCTGGAGTTCCTGCCGGCGAACATGACGTCCGTTCTCTAGCCAATAGATCAGGGAGTCATTGAGATGGCCCGCAAGTATTATAGGAAAAGCCTGCTGCACCGAATTCTGCTGTCATATGACAATGGGAAAAAGTATGAAATCGATCTGCTGGGTGCAGTCAATCTGATGGCCGAAGCCTGGCGCCAACTACGCCCGCTGGTGATTGCTAACTGCTTCGCACATGCAGGGTTTTCTCGCGCTCCGGAATCGATGGAAGAAGACATTGGCGCAGAATTCAGCGGCTGTGATGAGCTGTGCAATGAAGTGCGCAAGGCAACTGGCTGCGTGAGCGATACTGAAGACGGCGAGATCGCCTTTGAGGAGTATGCGCTCTACGAGGCCGACGTCCCCGTTACCGGAATGCTGTCGGACGCCGATATCGTTGAAATGGCCGTGAACGACGCAGATGACCATGCAGATGAGGAAGAGCCTCGAGAAGTGCCTACGACGACAGAAACACGTAACATGGTGCGTTTGCTCCGCAACAAGGTCGAATGCAGCGGTGGCGACCAACGGCTCATGCGATGTGTTGAGCAACTGGAGAACGCCTTTCTCGGACCGAACGCTAAAGCGAAACAGGCGAGCCTCACGCAATTTTTTGGTCCTCGGTAATACACTTTTTTCCCCTCCGAATTCTTGTGCCTTTACTACGGTAGCTGTTTTGTGCAGTGGAGCTTTTCCTAGCAGCACTGGCTTTTCTTTTACAGTGACCTGGGCGAACATTTTAGGCGTTTTGCTTAACTCGAAATACCGCCTATCTCGAAATTTTCCCCAGATTTGATGGCTTCGAGTTAACGAGGGATTACTGTATTGGCATGACTCTACTTCTCGCTACCCAAGGCTTGCAAAAGCTGCACTGACATTGTTGTGCCTAGCTAATGGTAGCTGTGATGTGGAGAGAACTTTCTCCCAGCTGAGATATGTTCAACGACCGGACAGATCTCGAATGGAGACTGACATGTTGCGCATGCAGATGATAATGTATGTCAACAAGGACGTGTAAAAAATCGATGACCAGATTTTCGAGAATAAAATGTATAATTTATAAGAGTCAATGTTTACTGATTCATTCATTTTCAAACACCACTGATTCGTTTTCAAACAAACACAAAATTTCGGGTAGTATACTGTATTTGCTATAATACTCTGGTGTCTGTCCCAATTACCAGCTTGAAACACCAAATTTAACGTGTTATACTTAAAAAGCCGTGAAATGTTTTGATAAGCTCAGTGTAAGTTCTGATAAGTACAACCGTATATTTAACCCGAAAAAACCAGAAGTAAGGAATGGTTTCGCAAAAAAACCGATTTTTCCCCGAATATCAGTTTGAAAAATATCGGGCAATTTTTACCCCCCGAATTTGAAAAAATATAAAACCCGAAAACAAACAACCCTAAATATATATCGAACACGGATACATCGAATTATTGCCTATATTGAACGGTTCCTATATCACGCGGAAAATCGCATGCGTTATTGATTTCTTATTTCGAACAAAAATTGACATATAATGGATATATCAAATTCAGCCACCCCGAACCGCCCGCGCTCCATTGACAGGCAGCGAGCTTTCCCGCAACTCTCGAAAGTAGGGGTAGAGCGACGGGCGTTTACGAATGCTGCACACATCGATTGCGCCCAGAGCGCCACTTTAACGTAGCAACGTACGTGCGCCGCAGCCTTGCGGTAGAGGTTCTTAAATGTGGAAACAGAAGAGAAAAGCGTGGAGCTGTTAGCGTCTTTCAATACGAAGGTACCGACACGGCTTCGCGCAGGGAAAGGGGGAGTGGGAGGTAAAGATTGAGGAGGAAAGAATAGGAGGGAAAGGACGCGGCCCGCGCTGCCGCCCGGAAAAAAAAAAGCAGTCAGGCGAGCCGGCATGGGCGCGATGTGCGCGCTTTACACCCGGACTCACGCCGCAGCCTTGCAGCTTGCAGTCGTTGCAGTCTCTATGGTGTCAACGGCATGCTGCGCACTTGTTGCAAGCTCCTTCCCCGTAGCATCGGCAGGCATCGGTCGTTGTGCTCGCAGTGTTCGTTCGTTCGGAGTTAGGCCTGTCGCGCGCTGTGGTGCGCGACAGGCTTAACTCCGAACGGCGGAGCTCACGGATGTGGAGATTGTCGCCGAAGCTACTGCTGAGCAGCCAAATGAAGACTCTGCTGAAGTGGATCCCGCAAGCACTGATGGTGCCCTGCTCCCGGCATCAGCTGATGTCGTAGCTGCCTCGGCTCTTGTGCGCCGCCACTGCGGCGCGATTGAAGGCACCGGCCTATCACTTATGGATCGCCTCGACTATATTGAGGACGCAGTCAAACACGCCATGGCCAACAAAAAGCAGGCTACCCTTTTTCAATATTTTAAAGCAACACAATAAATACTATGTTTGAATCTTCAAGTGAGTATTTACTGCACCACGCATGAACGGTTCGTTAGTTGTTTTCAGCAAACTGTTGACACATTTTTTCGTGATCTTTTTATATCGAATTCTGGATATATCGAACTATTTCGCGATTGCCGCGCCGTTCGATATATCGAGGTTCGACTGTACCTGTGGCACTATCCCCTCTGCTTTTTTCAAGTTGTTCTTTCCTGCTAGTGCATTTGTCACTTTTATCATGACGTTCTTTGCAGTTTATGGAGCATTTCTTTGAAATAATGAATCAAATCAAAAGGAAGTCTCATTGCAATCTTTGACTGCGGGACATCATTCTCTATATTATCACTATGTAACCTTCGTACTAATTACAATAAAATTAATCTATGGATTGGTTGAAATCAATATACAATGACTAATGTGAAGCTCTTTGCATCAAGAGAAACCATGGACTATTTGAGCGTGACACCGATGTCTGTTATGTCACTTACCAACTTGTTGCTTAGTGAAGGTGTGAACATACTGACTGCAAGCCTCAACAAGGACCCACTTGAGGTAAAGCAAGAGCTTTTCATGTTATTTCTCGCAATAGTTATCATGAATGCCTACTTCATGCAGCATTATTTTTGGGACTTGCGAGGTCCTCTAGAAACGATGAACAACACCCCACAGAGGCCTAATTCAGCCACGTGTTCCACCTTCACACACTGTACACTTCAATCGAAGTAGCCATCAAAGAAAACCGTGAAGCTGGTCAAGCGGGCACTGAACGGGTCATGCGAAAAAGAAGCCGCTGGTATATAGGATTACCTTCCTTAATCTGAAACCTTGTTGGTGTTGGAGAGGGAATACGCGAGCGGCGGCCTTGTTTACACCTCCAAGAAACGTTTTGGATATTTGAGGAGTGTGGAGTATGTCATCAGCCAATAATAGAAAAATGATTCTTTTGGTGACCTCTTTTAGACAGCCTTGAATGCAGCTGGCAACTCGATGCAGACTTACTGAACAGCATGCTCAAGTGAGCGGTCTACTAGCTCTGCACACTGGATGCGTGCGTCTACCATCAACCGAGTAGGGGCGTTGTTACGCGGATGAATAAGAAGCACAGCGTTTTGCGACCGCTTGCTTGGCGGCAGTAAAGGTAGCCTGTGCTTCCGACGACCAAGGAATGGCAGAGGACAGGCCGGCGGGTGAACAAAGGAGGGAGATGGCGGCTTTTTGACCACATCTTGAATGCGCCTGACAACCAGAAACTGGTTTTTGCCTGCCACCTTAGTTCTTGGATCTCTTGAGGGCTACACGTTCAACAACCCCAAGAAAAGGACCACTGAGTGTGCTTTGGGTAAGGCACAGGAGGAGCTGAAGCGCAAGCCCATCTTCAGTAGTATGACTGTGCGAGTAAGTGGAGTGCTCCTTGAGCTGGTTCGAGATCGCACAACACAGGTGAGAGCGGGTTACTCCTTAAAACGAGCACTCGAGGGAGTGGAGGGACGAGCTGGTGACCTAGAGAAAGAAAAGAAAAAGACTATGAAGCTAAGCCATCTAAAGAGTAAAGAAAAAAAATAAATTATACGCTTCCAGCGTGGCCGTTGCAGCTGTTTTGCAACAGTGCATTAACTCCGAGTGGAGACCCTTGTCCGTTTACTCTCGAAAGTATGGCCTTTGCCGGTACTGAAGAGACTGACGAAGAATGGTTCACTCAATACGAACTGATGAGCGCTAAAAACAAAGCGGGATGACGCTGACAAGTTGACTCACAGTCATCTTTTACATCACTGATGTTGCCGCAACCCGAAGTTCGGACATTCGGAAGTTTAGTGGTCAGTGCCCCGTAAGAGAAGCACGGCGACGCGCACTTGGCATCGACAGGCCAAGAAGATACCGACCCCGTGTGGCAGCAGACGCGGAGATGATTGACCCACTTAAGTCAGTTTCCTCGCGGTCCGCTGGTACCGCGAGCGGCCCTTCCGGATTGCGGGATAAGGACTACAAGGAGCTCGCCAACATCGGGTTACGCGTACGGTTGATACCCCCAGGAAGCTCTTGGCAAGACTCTTTGTCCAGCTCTTCGGAAGAGATTTGGGTCGACGACCCCTCGTCCATTCTCGGTGGTTGCAGCCGCGATGCCACTGTGTCCTCCGGGGCTCACGCGTCTGAGGAAGTTGGGGAGGAAGCTTCCAGGAGAGCCCATTAGGAAGCCTATGCTTCCTCAGAAGTGAACTACTGAACAGTTTCATTCCTACTTTTCTAAAAAAATGCGGTACTACAACGACAAAAATTACATTCAGACAAGGTACTTCTTCAAGAGGTTTGCAGACGTTTTCGGTTGACCTGCTGTCTGTGTGTCCTAAACTGAACAACGCTTGCATACTCGCGCACAGAAGCCATGCGAGTCATTCGCAAGTTATATTGAAGAGATCGTCTTTGTAACCATGTCAACCTCGACATGCCCGAGTCTGACAGGATTCAGCACATCTTCAAGGGGTCAATGATGGCACATTTCAGATGCTCCTGGCCCGTAATCCTGACATCATTGCGGAACTCACCACCTTGTGTCAAAGTTTTGACGAGTTGAAGCAGCGCGCCCTGACTCCACCTTTTTCCTTACATGCCGACTCTCTCTCT